GATGATAATTATTTAGTGATACAAGTATTACTTATTAAACCATAGTTCTGAGAAAGACGTAGATTCATACCTTTCCCAAAGTGTATTTACGCGTAAATGAATTTAACGACACCGACAAGAATTGGCACTCGGCTCTCCGATTAATAATTGCGATTCATTATACATTGCACCTCCCGCACATCCAAGCTTACAGCAGCTGTTATTCCTGAGCGGTCACTGACTGGGCTCGCCGTTAGTTAAATTTGGGGATCGTACGGGAACTGGTGTTTCAGGAAAGGAAAAATTTGTCTTTCGTTGGGTTTTTTTTTTCCTATTGCGATAACACTGTTTAGTGTAGTTGGATATTTTCTCGACAAATGGCATTACCCTCAAGGCTGTAACATCAACAAGTGAAATACATGTGCAGCAATCCCACTGAACACTTTGGCCAACATTGCTCAAGCAGTAATTCGCCAAACTAATAAATGTTTAGAAGCCAAAGGCCACCATTTTTAACATCTCATGTGATTGTCGAGTCCAGAGGTAACTTGTATTAATCTCGTGATGTCTGAATAAATTTAGTTTTTTCCTCTCTTGAAGCGCGTATACATTTTTTCTGTACAGTAGCTCGGAAAACTAATTCTAATCATTCTGATAAGAACTGCCAAATTTGTTGGCGGGGGCCTTAGACTCAACACGGAAGCCTACATCAAGTGCCTTGAAGAGGTAGTGCTGCCATGAGTTAAGAGTATGGCTGCTGGAAGACCCTATTTCTGGCAATAGGACTCTGCACCATGCCACACAAGTAGGAGAACCCGGTCATATAACTGTCTATTTAGTCAGCAATCCATCTTTTATACAAGTTTCATTAAAGACGACTGACCATGTTACTGCGATTAAGTTTTTATTTAATTTTTCTTGTGTTTGTATATTTTTTTTCTTTTCTGGGCATAAAGTATATTATAATTGTCCGAATTTTTTGTATGTTCGAGCGCTTTCGGCTATTCTTTTAGCCAGTATCAAGGACAATTAAAAAGAAAAGTAAAAAAAAGAAAAAAGGCAACACTCAATAACATTATGAAAATGGCTATAATGTGTTGACAGTTTTTGAAAAAAAAAATAAAACATTCCTATAGCTCAATACGTACATAAAAATCAATAAATAAAAATAAAATTCATCCTTGATAATGGATAAATGAAAAGCCGAAAGCGCTTGGATAAACAGAACATTTGGATAATTTTTAGATACTTTATGTCTAGAAAAGAGAAAAATTATAAAAACACAGGAAAAAATTAATATAAATCTTAAATGCAGTACTTTGTCAGACGTCTTTAATAAAACATATATATATATATATATATATATATATATATATATATATGAAGAAATATAGTCATAAGATGTGCTATATTTATGGGATAAAGTGCTCAATATCAGAGATAGAGTGTGTATAAATATAAAAGTGAACATAGAAGTCAACACTTCTTAGAGGCGACAGTCTGTTTCATGCTATATGCAATCGTCAGGCCACGATTGCATGTAGCATGAAATAGACTGTCTCCTCTGGGTATTGACTTCAATGTCCCTCTTTATATTTACATACGCTCTATCCCTGATATTGAGCACTTTAACCCATAAATACAGCATACCTTAAAACTATATTTCTATTATATATATATATATATATATATATATATATATATAGGGGAAATTGTATGACAAAGTGGAAAAAGTTTATTCGTGACGCGTTTGTGACTTTTGAGGCGTTTCGTCCTTCAGGACTTCATCGAACTAAAATCCTCAAAACCTGTCATTCGTTCGCATATGTAGTCGTACCAGCATTTTCCGGAAAGAGGTTTCCTGATGTTATCGGCCTAGAGGTGGGGGAGAGGGCGATGCCGGCGTGCTGCACCTTTGGCGAGTAACTAAAAACCATACCAAGCCTTGAAATTGAGTAGACGGAACACATGCGGGTAGGCGATAGCTGTGCTAGCACGAAGTCACAAAATTGTTAATCACACTAGATAACGCACACTCTCCTAAAAACTGTAACTAAGGTCTGTTCAACATAGTTTCAGTATAAACCATAGGTTAGCTCTGTGGATGTTGAATAAACACAAATGTGCCTGAGCGAGCGTCTGCAATAGAGATTGGCTTGCCGCCCTAATATCGAATACTAGTGTCAGCTATATATATATATATATATATATATATATATATATATATATATATATATATATATCCAGCACATATTCTCTGTAATGCTACATAAACTTAAAGAAATAAATCTCATTCTCAATAAATACACGTTGTTATCTCCATTACACTCCATGTATAGACAGATACACCAGAACATGATTTAATCTCACTTGACTGTGACCAAATTAACTGCGCAAATATCCTTGAATAAGCAGACGTTGTCAGTCTCTCGATTTATCACTATTCAAGACAGCCATGACTATTTTATGGTATTTTTTGACGAGAGGGTATGACAACTTTTCTGATGACTAAAAGTAAAAAAAAAGACAATGAAAGAAAAGAAATGTTCATCCGTATTTTTCGTATCTTTTCCCCTTACTCTTAAATCCAACTCATCCTTTTATTTTTTTTTCATTCTCAGGCTCCTCCTTTTCTAATCTCACATAGGTTGAAGCCGTTTCCACCATTTTGAACATGAAAAAAGGAATTCAAATAGAGATGAACTCATTCAGCAGGTAATACATCTTAAAATATATCAAAACGATATCTATTTTTCATCAGCCTGAAAACTCAAGTCATATTCTTAAATAGCCTCGTCAGATTGAGACTTTGATATGGATGCCAGCCATGCATGGCACTAAACCAGTTCAGAAATATCTCAACTGTCAGCTGTATACAACCGCTTCCTAAGATCAATGATTAAAAAAGGCTTTGAACGCGTAAAACCTATGGATCTGGTCAATTATCATTCCTCTTTAAACATTTTGAACTGACGCTACAGATTCAAAACAAAATACTGTACAGAAATACCAAATAATAGAAACCACATCACTTGAGAACTACCAACAGCAGCAACAACTAAAATGGATAGCACATGTAAATGGAAGAGCAAATAATGATATAATCAAGATGTTGACATTCCACACCATTTCAAATAAAAGGTTAGGAAGGAATCTCCTATCAACAGTGGAAAGAGCGATAACAGGCACTGGACTTGAGAAATCTGTTTTCCTGAAAAGTTGCTTTAAGAAAAAGATTTTATAAATTTCAACAGAAAGCAGTACTCTCCGCTCGGACAATGAATGTCAAATGTTTCTTTGTAGGGAAACGGCCAATATTACTATTATTATTACCAAAGATTCGCTAAAAATGAACATACCATGATGCAAAAAATGTTCCAAACTGAATAAAAACAAAGTTTTATTGTCAAAATTTTTATGTTAGAAACATTAGAGGTAGAAACAAAGGATTTTTTGATTATTAAATTTTATTTTTCATGCGTCAACGGGTGACCATAAATTACTTTTGGAAATTTGAGCATCACTTTGCGGTGAAAAGCACATTGATTTGAAAATTCTTGCAAAAATCAAATAACTGTCGGATTTTCATGACACTTTTAAGACTTATTCAGATATTATTTAAATTATTTACAAATGTCTTTTCTTTTGAGAAAATCTTGGTAAAAATTATCTTTTTACATCTATTTTAGATTTTGCATTCCTTACCTTTTTGAACTACGGCATTACAACTTTAAACTTCCACATTTATTATTTTAAATGAGGCGCACTTGTTTTCGTAAAGAATCTCCTTGTATCTGATATTTTTGCTTTGCTTTAATAATTTTTAATCATTTCATCCCAAGTAAGACAATAAAGCCACTAAGACGCAAGGGGTTAAAGTGTATTAGAGAACATGAGAAAAATATACTAGTAAGAACAATAACAGAATTAAGAAAACAGAAGATAACAATTGACAATACATTTAAATTTTTTGAAGATCAAAGTTGGCTGGGAAGCAAGACGCTGGAAGAGAGTTCCATAATCGAGAAGTGTGACAGAAGAAACTGTTAGCAAAGAACTTACGATTACATCTAGCCATTTCAAATGTAAAATGATGTGATCTTGCCTCCAATCTAGTACTGCCCTTAAATTCATAAATTCTACGTACCATAGAGGAAAGTAATATTTGTTTTGGAAATACAAAAATATGGCATAAAGCCAAAACGGGGAATAGGGGAAAGCTTGCCTTTAGTCTGTCTTATCTTATACTTAGCTAGTCACGATTACTGTCCCAAATGCCACAGTATTCCTTATGCCCAAACAACACATTCTTACTTAACATTCTTACTACAGCCACCATAATACCTCAGAGTCTCTATTAAGTCTTAACTAGCTCTCATATGTCCAATTTGTCTATGAAGGTGGGGGGGATAAAAATAACACATGAACGTACCATAGAGGAAAGTTTATCAGAACAATTACCATGAAAGTATTTATAGAAATATTGTGCTCAACTCAAGCATAAACTGCAGATATCTTGAAACAAAAAATATCAAAATAACAGAAGCCTATTTTTAATTGTAATCTTTCAGTTCTGAAAATATTAAGAAGAAATGGTAAACAGTTCTAAGAATCAAGTGCCTATGCATGTACGCATCTAACAAATTTTGAAGTGTCGATTCGTAATTAGCTTACAGTTAAAAGAAAATGTCATTTATTCATAACAAAAGAAAGGTTATCGTGATGATCAAACTCTTCTGAGAAATGTTTTTCCCTTCGTTTCTTTCATATCCAGACATTTTAAACGTTTTCTAAAGCTTCTTTTTTTTTAAAGGAAATAAAAGCTTACGACTTTTTTCTCAGTTTTTAATTATGCGAATTGAAATATTCCAACCTTTTGCGAAATTTTCATTAAAATTTTTCTCTATTTCTTGTATGTTACTGTCTTGGATTCTCATCATTGTAATGATCATATTTTATATCACCCGTTTCCTCATGCTGACATTTCAAAATTAACCGAACTGATTCTGATGAGCTGCAGCTTACGGTCACATCACGTTGAAACACCAGTTCCCGTAAGATCACCGAAATTAAGCAACTTCGAGCCTGGATGGTTAACCGTTTGGGAATACCAAGTGCTGTAAGCCTAGACGAGAGGGGTGTAGTAGATAATGGCTTAATACTATTATATCTATTACTACTACTAGGGAGAAGCAAACAAAAAAACTAGATGAAAGAAAAAACTAGTCAAAAATTAATTAAAATTAAAACTGTAGTAGTTGTAATTTTTTTTTTCTTATCTACCATGTATCTTCATGATGATATTCAGTCCCCACCACGAGGGTGTCATGTGACACAAGGCCTTTTTAACGTGGGCATTCCGAGCCCGTGGGCTCGGCCAAAAATATGCCTATTGAACCCGTATAAACGGGTTCAGGGCCGGTCTACCTCCCCGAAGGAGACTCCGCCCTTCGGCGGAGCCTCCTTCGGGTTCCTCCCGTCCGTAGACAGAGAGTTGAACCGAGCAGTCTGTTTAAAAGTGAACTGCTGACATGTATCTTCATGACGTGTGCGATCATGGCGCTCCACGCTTTCGTACCCCTTGTAGCTCTTAGTAATATTCATCCCCTTACTACGCCCCTTTTCATGTTCTGCCATCCACTTACACAAACTCATAAGGTATGCTACTTACTGTTTTCCTTGTCCCATCAAGAAGTGGAAGGTCATGACACTCTACAACCTCCTATGCTTTGTAGCTCTAAGTAATATTTATCTCCTTACTATTCCCTATATTCCCTTTTCTGCCATCCATTTACACAAGCTCGTTACGTAGGTTAGTCTCTATCCTTCTTGCCTGTAATATGTCACGTGAGTGTCAGATTCTCCAAGCCCTCATAATGCGTCCCAGAAATCTCAACTAGCTCTTTCTGATTCTAAGCAAAAGTGTCATTTCATTCCCATATTCTGTAAAAACTTCATCATTTCTCACATGTGCCGTCTATGGAATTCTCAGATTTCTGCAAGGTAGTTCCCGTAACTTGAGCGCCTCTTAGGACTTAAACTCAACCTAAACCATATCGCTAAAGATGCTGGAAAAATAGTCGGTTCCCTGTACCGCTCCAGTAAGTACCCGACTCTTCCTGTTATCATCTAGCTTTACAAGAGCCAGATCAGATCGAAAATGGGGTACTGCTGCCGTATATGGTTATGAGCTGATTAGACTTCACTTTCCTGTCTCGATAGAGTCCAAAAGCATCTCTACATCCTTGTGGGCAACGAATTATTTTCCAACCTACAACCTCTTTTTTACAGATGAAATGTCTCAAGCCTCTCACTACTCTATCGGTATTTTCATAGAGAGTGTCCAGATGAACTACACTCCTTAGTTCCAGCAGTTCTAACCCGCCATGCCACAAATATTGTAGCGAACCACCACCATTCCATTTGTATTCCATTGATGAGCAGTTCCACTCGAGCAGTTTCTTCCTACGAACCGTTGCTTTGTAGAAATGACTCCCAAGAAGATGCTTCCTCGATAACTACAGTCTTAACCTGTTCTAGTCTAGGGATAACCGTTATCTTCTCTACATATCCTCATAAACTGTGATTCTTACCTCTTACTTTGTGGAACCGACTCCCAGGAGGATGCTTCCCCGATCACTACAATCTTAACCTGTTCAGGTCTAAGGTTAACCGTTATCTTCCCCACATTTCCTCTTACACTGTAACCATCAATCTCTAGTGGCTCTTGGGTCTTGTACACGATAAAAAATCATAGTAAAAAATCTCAGTTGTCGCTTTATCTATGAAGAAATTGTGCAGAATTTATCCCCAATATATTAATATTTCATAACAGGAGAGTACTCCTATCTTTGTTTTCAACAAAACTTTTCCTGTTTCTTAATATTGTGTATAGTTTCTGGAAAGCATATTTCGTTATTCCAATGAATCTTCAGATTTCTGTACCAACGTTCAGATTAAATACATGGCAACAAATTAAATTGAAAATGATTAATCAGAAAACATGACCTGGGATTTGAATACTTTACCCGAAGCCGCATTGGGATAGTGAAAGATACCTTCCAAACGCTAAGCAAAGTATTAAGAAACGTAAGATTTTGTTAAAAACAAAAAATAGTGTACTGAACCATTATGTAATATAAATCCTCCCATAAAGCAGTGAATGGACAATCTCCTCACAGATGGAAAAGAGATTTGAGGCAACAGAAATGTTCTACAGAACGATGCTGAGAATAGTTTGAAAAAAAAAATGGAAACAAAAATGACACATATACTTAACATCCCAAAGAGATCGTTGAGATTTCTAGGGTACATAATGAAAAATGAGTGCTTGGAAAATTTGACACCCACAGGACAGATTGAGGGTAAATGCATAAGTTAACGAGCTTGTGGAAATGGGTGACAGAATCAGGTTTGGAGAGAAATAACGAAAACACAAAATTTATTAAGAGCTACAAAGGACAGGAACTTATGGAGAACTATGTTCGCCAACGTCTTGAACGGACATGGCACATAGAAGAAGTGTACACCTGTCTGTTGATTACTTGGATACATTTACTAATGGGTGCTGAAAATTTCTCAGCCCTACGCACTTTCCAAACCGAGTATTTCAATGACCAGATTTTGAAGAGTAAGGATTGGAAAAAAACTTGAAAACGATATAGCAATATGTTGAGCGGCAGATGAACACGTGGAGTAGTATGTATTTTCAGGTCTCTAGTGGAATTAATAAATTCTAAACACTTTAAATGCCTCAGTATATATGGATCAGTTATAACAAATTTAGTATAGGCCATAAGGAAATTGAATACAGGATAGGTTGCGCTAGGAGTACTTTTCTCCAACACTACAAAGTTGTCCAACCAAAGCTTTTACCTAAAAACTAGAATCATGTTCTTAAATAGCTTTGTCAGATCTAGGCTTTCATGTCACGTTTCCACCGCCCAAACATTGCTTCCCTGAGCCTTTTCTATAAATACTTTCACGATAATTAATCGGATGAACTTTCCTCTATGAGGCCTAATTTTTAAAAGTTGTTATTTTTATTTCCCCTGCCTACAAACAAATTGGCTATATGGGAACTAGTTAGAACTACATAGAGACTTTGAGGTATTATGGTGATGGTCGTAAGAATGCTAAGTCAGAGTTTGTTGTTTTGGTGTAAGGAATACTGTGATATGTTTTGGTCACTAATCGTGACTAGTTAAGTTTAAGATAAGAGTGATTGAAGAACAGCCTTCCCCTTTCCCTCCTTTTGGCCTTGTGCGACATCTTTGTATTTTCAAAATAAATATCACTTTCTTCTACGGTACGTAGATTTATGAATTAAAGGGCAGTACGAGATTGGCGGCAAGATCTCATCATTTTACAGTTCTATGCTAACAGTTTCTTCTTTCACACTTCTCGCTTGTGGAACTATGTTCCATGCTTTCCAGTCAAGCTTGATCTTTTAATCGTTCTCTCTGCTCATTTTCTCTAGCATTTAGTAACTCCTTCCATCTTAGTGGCTTTATTGCCTTCCATGGGGTTAAATGATTAAACAAAAACTCTTAAAGAAGAACACAATTTAAGAAAAGTAAAAAGAAAAGCAAAGACTAGGTTTAATAATTTTTAACGATATTTCGACAGTATATCGATCTTCTTCAGATTATGCTAAAATTGCTTTTCTTACCACCATGATATAACTTTCCTATGCAGGCGTAACGTCGTGCAAACTAACAAAGGGAGGGACAAGCACGATTATAATAATATATATATATATATATATATATATATATATATATATTCACCATTCCTTAAATGCTTGTTTTTGCTGTTTTGGTGAGTCTACAATATTTTCTTAGATGTGTTTTCCTTAATTCTAAAGAACAACAAAACCAAAATTGCAACTATTTTTTAGTAATTCCTTAGAATCTGACACTATGTAGAATAAGACTCGCATTTTTCTCCTCTTTCAAGATTTTGAACAACTCATAACGAAATTCCCAACTTTTTACCAGCGTCACACCTGAAAAAATAGATTGTGCCCACATTCCAATTGCTGTCACAGCCATGATATCAATTTAAATGTAATTAATTTCACAAGCTTTTTAAAGTAAAAGAAATAAAGAAAAATTCTTTGTGACATCATGAGTTCTGTTATACGTTAGGGGTATTATATGTACTGAAGTCATAGCAGCAGAAGCGTTTTTAAGGTAAATAACCTGGCGGAGTCTGTTTCTCTTAACGCTGTTTCCTTCTCCTAGATTGGTTGCCACTTCAATTATTTAATAAGGAATTATGAAAGCTGACAGCACTTAGAAGAAAATTCTTTTCTGTGTTTTTTTTTTAATCATTTCACCGCACACTTGGCAATAATGCCTCTAAGATGCAAGGGGGTTACTGAGAGTGAAGTAAAATGAAAAGATGTTAGTGAAGAGAAAGGACAATAAATGGACAGGTTTCAGGAAGAGAGACGAACGAGAAGACTTTAGTCAGGGGGAAGAAGAATAAAAGAATAGGGTTCAGGAGATCATAAGGACTAGACGGCTTTAGTTAAGAGAAAGGAAAATGAAAGAACAGGTTTCAGAAAGACAGAAGAACGAGAAGACTTTAGTTAAGGGTGAGGCCAATGAAAGGGCAGAGTTCAGGAAGAAAGAAAAACGAAATAACTTTAGTGAAGACAATAAAAGAACCTGTATTTCAACAGAAGATGGCAATTGATGTTGCATTCAAATTTTCAAAGCTCTTAGTTGACAGGGAAACAAGAAATCTGAAGAAAGTTCCACGGGAAAGAAAAAGAAATTATCAGAATAGAACTTAGAGTTGCATCTAGCTAGTAAAAGGATGAGACCTAATTGCCAATATAGTAGTACGCTTAAATTCATGAGGTCGACGTACCAAGAAGGAAAGCGATATTTATTTTGAAGAATTAAAAAAATGGGACACAAACTTATCTTAAACCTCAGCTCACCACGATTACTGAACCAAACATATAGTATTCCTTTCACTAAAATTTATCCAATGAAACTTCAATGAATACCACAAAAGAAAAGCTCATTATAACGATTGCCATGAAAATAGTTATAGAAAGTACACCGGGAAGCTACGATATGTTGGTAGGAAAGTGACTGAAGTCGAGATGCC